CTCTCTCTCGCTTTACCTTCTCTATTACCTTTCTCTCACTCGTTTTTCGTCCTTTATTACCTTACTATCTACCGTTTGTCCCCCTCTGTTATCTTTCTCTCTATCGTTTGTCCCTCCTCTATTATCTTTCTCGCTATCGTTTGTCCCTCCTCTATTATCTTTCTCGCTATCGTTTGTCCCCCTCTATTATGTTTCTCACTATCGTTTGTCCCCCTTCTATTATCTTTCTGACTATCGTTTGTCCCCCTCTATTATCTTTCTCTCTATCGTTTGTACCCCCTCTATTATCTTTCTCTCTATCTTTCCCCCCTTATTACATTTCTCTCTATCTCTCCCCCCTTATTACATTTCTCTTTATCTTTCTCCCCTTTATTACATTTCTCTCTAACTTCTGTCCCCCTCTATTATCTTTTTCTCACAAGTTTTTTCTCCTGTATTGCCATTCTCTCACTCGCTTGTCCTCCACTATTACCTTTCTCACACTCGCTTCTCCTCCACTATTACCTTTCTCTCACTCGTTTGTCCTCCACTATTACCTCTCACTCGCTTGTCCTCCACTATTACCTTTCTCACACTCGCTTGTCCTCCACTATTACCTTTCTCACACTCACTTGTCCTCCACTATTACCTTTCTCTCATCCGCTTGTCCTCCACTATTACCTTTCACTCACTCGCTTGTCCTCCACTATTACCTTTCACTCACTCGCTTGTCCTCCATTCTTACCTTTTACTCACCCGTTTTTCTACCTCTGTTACATTTCTCTAACACCTTTATCGTCATCTTCCTCTCACTAGTTTTTCCTCCTCTATAACCTTTTTTTCTCATTTGTTTGTCCACGTGTATTACTTTTCTCTTATTTGTTTGTCCTTTTCTATTCATTTTCTCTCACTCGTTTTTCCACATTTATCACTTTTCTCTCACTCGATTTCCCTCCTCTATTACGTTTCCCTCACTCGATTGTCCACATATATTACCTTTCTCTAACTCATTTTTCCTCCTCTCTTACTTTTCTCTTATTTGTTTCACCTCCTCTATTACCATTCTCTCACTCTTCATTCCTCATCTAATGTCATTCTCTCACTCTTTTTCCTCCTCCTCTAACATTCTTTCATTCATTTTTACATCTCTCTTGCCTTTCTCTCACTCATTTGCCGCCTTTTATTACATTCCTCTCCCTCTTTAATCCACCTCAATTATCACTCGCCCGTCCACATCTATTACCTTTCCCTAACACATATATTTTCATCTGTTAATTCCCTCTCACCCGTTTTTCTTTCTCTGTTACTTTTCTCTGACTCCATTATCTACATGTACTATCTTCTTCTTACACGTTTTTCCCACTCTTTTATATTTCCCGTACTTGTTTTTCGTCCTCTATTACCTTACTCGTTTGTCCACATGAATTACCTTTCTCTTACTCGTTTTTTTTTCTCCTCTCTTACTTTTCTCTCACTTGTTTTTCCTTCTTTATTACCTTTCGCTCACACTTTTCTCCAGCTCTGTTACCTTTCTCTTCCTCTATTCTTTTTCTCTTGCTCGCTTTCCCACATGTATTGCCTTTCTATTACTCGTTTTCATTGTCTGGTACCTTTCTCTTACTCATTTTTCATCTATTATCTTTCTCTCACACTTGTGTCCACATCTATTATCTTTCTCTCACTCGTTTGTCCACATTTATTATTATTCTCTCACTCATTTGTCTACATCTATTATTTTTCTCTCACTCGTTTGTCCACATCTGTTATTATTCTCTCACACTTGTGTCCACATCTATTATCTTTCTCCCACTCATTTGTCCACATCTGTTATTATTCTCTCACACTTGTGTCCACATCTATTATCTTTCTCTCACTTGTTTGTCCACATCTATTATTATTCTCTCACTCGTTTGTCCACATCTATTATTATTCTCTCACTCGTTTGTCCACATCTGTTATTATTCTCTCACTCGTTTGTCCACATCTATTATCTTTCTCTCACTCGTTTGTCCACATCTGTTATTATTCTCTCACACTTGTGTCCACATCTATTATCTTTCTCTCACTCATTTGTCCACATCTGTTATTATTCTCTCACACTTGTGTCCACATCTATTATCTTTCTCTCACTCATTTGTCCACATCTGTTATTATTCTCTCACACTTGTGTCCACATCTATTATCTTTCTCTCACTCCTATTTTGTCCACATCTGTTATTATTCTCTCACACTTGTGTCCACATCTATTATCTTTCTCTCACTCATTTGTCCACATCTGTTATTATTCTCTCACACTTGTGTCCACATCTATTATCTTTCTCTCACTCATTTGTCCACATCTGTTATTATTCTCTCACACTTGTGTCCACATCTATTATTATTCTCTCACTCATTTGTCCACATCTGTTATTATTCTCTCACACTTGTGTCCACATCTATTATTATTCTCTCACTCGTTTGTCCACCTATAAATCACAGCTTTACCTTCTATAACCTTTCCCTAACTCGTTTGTCTACATGAATTACCTTTTCTCTCATTCGTTTTTCGTCCTGTATTACCTTTCTCTCACTCGTTTCTCCACCACTATTCCCTTTTCCTAATACGTTTATCTTCCCCATTAACTTTCCCTCTCTTGTTTTTCCTCCTCTATTAACTTCCTCTCACTTATTAACTCTCGCACTATTTTATTTGTTTTCTCTTTCTCGCTATTTGTTGGCCGTTTTGCTCACAATATTCTCTTTTTCGTGCTTATATCCTAATGAGTTCGAGTTTCTGCTTGTACAACATTTATCACTGAATGCCTATTACCACGAGTCAAGTATTAATTTTTGGCTCATCTTTTCTTCGGTATTTAACTACACTGTCCTTTAAGCGTAATGTATGTCGTTTACCAAATATTCCTCAAATCCTACATGCAACAAAATCAGTAGACCTCTTCATACAGCTTGCTTATATATAATTTTTTCACCTTTGTGTCGTGATAATCTAAAACTTCTACAGCTTTGTTTTTACTTATATTTTTCCTTTTATCTTGAATTTTCTTGATTCTATTTTTTCGTAATTAATTTTTTTGACATTTTCTATTCCTTTCTTTCATTCTTTCACCTTGATTATCTCTCTATATTTCTGAGATGAGATATTATTTACATTATTTACATTATTAGGACTATTGTCCTCATCATTGTCACCATGTTTATCACAACGTTTCGGTCGTTGTACGCTTCGGCCTTCTTCAGGTGGTTGGAATGTCAAACTGAACCCTTCATTTCGTTCACTGGGGTAGATACATGGCACAGTGGATAAAGGCGTTAGTTAGATCCAGTGATATGGACCCAAAGAGTGTGCGTTCAATATCTGGTTAAGGCAGGGGAGAACTTTCAGAAGGGAATTAACAGGAGATAACTGACATCCATTAGACATGGCACCTGGAACTAGAACAGTCTACCCCAGAGAGCGAAATAAAGGGTTCAGTTCGACATTCCAACCACCTGAAGAAGGCCGGAGAGTAAAACGGCTGAAACGTTGTGATAAACATGGCAACAAAGATGAGGACAATAATCCGAATAATGTAAACAGTGTTGATTATTTTTCTTGTAAGCTCACCGTCTGCTTTTACGCTTTTCATCAATTTTTAAACTATGAAATTAATTTTCTACACCACAACCCATATGCAACAGTAATAACGCGAAATCGTGTTTTCATAACGTATACAGAAAAATTGAAAAGTTAAATTTTCAATGCATGCAAATTATTTCTGTGTTGACAAAATCCGCTTAACTTTTATCAGTGCAATTCTTTTGAAAATCTTAAAGGAAGAAATTTAACCAAACATGATAGATTTAATAAACCGAGAATAAAATATCAAAATAAAAACAAAATTAAAAGTATGTAATGTATATTTTGTATTGCAAATTTTAAATTCTAATTTATTTTCTAATTTTTCAGCAGAATATCTATACATAAACCGCCAACGTTTTAAAATAAGTGCACTTCACGTAATTCACTTAAACTCTAAATTATTTGTGACTTGAAGCATTTTATAATTTGTCAGCAGTTTTTAAATTCTTACCTATTTACTTGCATGACGTTTTCTGCTATATTTTATCTATACATATTTATTCAATTAATACGCACCTTCGTATCAAAAGGTATGTCATTAATGTTGATATTTATGTTAATATATATTGTGTTCATATGGTGACTATTGAAGTGCATGGTGTTATCCTTTATCGTATGGTGTAAACGTTTATAAAGTGATTTCGACATAATATGTCCTCCTGCAGGTTCGAGTCAGGTAACTATGGAAGAAGAGTAATTCTTTAATAAGTTTTCTGCAGTACTTTTTGTACAATTCCCAAAGACTAAGTATATTTTCCAGAACTTATCGGTGTGGCAGGAATTTTTTAAAAAGAATTTTGTTGGTTTTGAATGAATTTGTGACAAAAAAGATCACACACAATGAAAGAAAGTGGTTAAGTCTGTAAAAGAAAACTCAAAAGCAGAAAAATGACTAAAGAGGAAGATCGTTTGAAAGGGACAAAAAACTGAGAGGGAGTCAGAAGTAGGGAAAGATGAAAAAGATAATTTGAAGCAGTAAGAAAAAGGGAGTAAATAAGAAACCGTTAAAACCGGAGCTTTGAAGGAAAATGAATACTAACGATATGAAAATTTTAAGATGGGAAACAGACGAAAGAGAAAGTCTGAGGTTGGAAAAGATCCACAGAGAGAATCGGAGGTAGAAAAACATCCAGAGTGTTTGAGACTGAAAAGATCAACAGACAGTGAGAGAGTCTGAAGAAAGGTAAAAGAGAGCGAGATGAGGCTGGTAAAACAGAGAAAGGAAATGTTTGAAGGAAAACACATGTGAGAAATATCGAAAGTGTATGCGGGATACAGATTAAATAGTTTGAAGCATGAAAAGATCAACACAAGCATCACGAAAAAAAATATTGAAAAAATATATATATATATATATATATATATATATTGTGTCTGTTAAAATGTTTTTTCAAGTATGCTGTATTTGTGGCTTAAAATTCTCACTATGAGGGATTTAGCGTATGTAAATATAAAAGTGGACATTGTACTCAACCCCCAGTGACAGCTGCCTACTTCATGCTTATAAGCAATCGTCAGGCCATATGTGTTGTGTTTTTGTTCGACTAATTTTATATACAGGTCACTAGTGTATTCTGGCTAGTGTATTTTATTGTTCTAGCTGTTATTTTGGTAGGCACTAACAGTTAAGTTTCGAATTATTCTAGGGGCTTCTGGGTGGAAATAATAGTGACTACGGATGCCTTTTTTTGGCTATTTATATTGGGATTTGTTATTTCTTCTTGATTATTTTATTGGTGCTTGTTATTACGTTTATGTGTGCGTTTCCACCCGATATTCCATAGAATAAAATATTCACATTAAAGTGATATTCCCCAAAAGAAGTTGGTAAGATTTCAGGATGTATTTATATTATAACATTAATATAAGAATTTCAGCTCAGATAATTTTTATAAATACTCACGATAATTTTCTTAGTTTCGTGATATTTTATAATGTAACTCAAAGGTAATTCTTGATCATTTTGAAAATACATATATGTTGATCTTACTTAATGCTGAATTTTGTTGGTAGAATACGAGGCATTATTATCGAAATAGTAACAGGAATAATAGGTATCGATCTTTCATAAATAACCGCCATTCCATCAGTTTCGAATTGATTAAATATTTACGTTTAAGACTGAGTAAATCTTCTCAGAGAGATGCAGTGTTTTATTTCTCGAAATTTGAGTTATTACTACCAAATAGAAAAACAGACATTTTTCATGAAATTTAATTCTTTTAATGGATTCTGGGGGCAAATAGTGAAACATTCTATATCCTTTTTTTTTTTACTATTAATCAAATTAAGATGTTTACTTGCTTTATGTTAAAAAATGATCTGCAAGTGATTTGGAGACATTTTATTCAAGGTATTATTATTAAATTATTTTTTGATGAAATTAGTTACATTACGCCGCATTTTATATAACACGTCTCTTCAATTCGTAGTTAATCATGGCTCTCCACAACTTCCTGTCTCTTGTTTGACTACCATCGTTCTTCGTCCCTGCTTGTCATACATTCACATAAACTTGTTCGTTATTTTTCTTCTGTTCCTCCTACCTTCAATATGCTTTGTGAGTGTTAAATTTTCTAAGCCCCATTTCCTCGTGATGTCTCCCAGAAATCGCGACTATCTTTCTGATTTTAACTATAATTTACCTGTTGGTTTCTAATTACCTTAAAATTTCCTCTATGCTCACATCTTCTTCTCATGTTATTCTCAGCCATATTCTATAGAACAACATCTCCGTCGCTTCGACTCTCCTTTTCCTCTCTGTGGACATTGTAGAACATTCACTACCATATAGGAGGATAGATATAATATAGACGGTCTTTCTTTATTTTTCTTGGGACATTTTCCTATATCTTAATACTTTGCTTCGTTTCTGGGAGACTTTATTCCCCATGCTGATGAGCCTTCTGGTCTCTCTACCTCTCTTGTCGGTTTTTACATCAAGCAGTAAGAAAAGATGTATGTGCTTTCTTCATTCTGATGTTCTCAACTTGAAGGTCACACATGTGACTGCATCTCTTGCTAATGAGCAGACATTCAATCTTCTTATAGATAATGGCTAATCCTTTCTCGCTTTCTTTTGCTGTCTTTGGTAGTTTTTTTTTTTTGTTTTTTTTTCTTATTTTTTTTTTGTTTCTCTTAATGTGTCATCTGCTAATCTAATGCTGTCAGGATTAGGGTCCATAGGTTATCTTAGGATTATATGATTATTTCACTATATACATTTTTTTTAAATCTGGTATGAAAACAACCTCGTCGAACCTTGTCTTTTTATTTGTGTATGCTTAAATATTTTTATGAACCTATATTTAATATCGTCTCCCTTTTCCATAGTCGTGTTTCGGTGAACGCGTTGCCAAGTATTGTGGTGATCATCGACATTTCCTTCTGTGAGAAATGATTACTATGTTGGATGTGAAGAAACGTCAGCGGACACCGCATGATAGGACAGAAGGGTTCAGAAGATGGGAAGATTTGGCATTTCTTTGGAATTTCTTCGACTCTTGTATTCGTCCTCTGGTATTTTTTTATGTAAGTTTTTTTTGCCGTGGACAGCTCTTCTCAAATTAGTTCTTTAGACATTGGAAGAAGAAAAATCTAATTAATACCAGTTTCCTTTTTAGAAACGTCTATTTAATACTGGTTTCGTTGTCCTAAACATATAATTAATACCGGATACTTTTTTACAAAGCTCTACTTAAAACCGGGTTCTATTTTTTACAAAGCTAAAACCGGGTTCTATTTTAAAACCGGGTTCTATTTTTTTACAAAGCTCTGCTTAAAACCGGGTTCTATTTTTTACAAAGCTCTGCTTAAAACCGGGTTCTATTTTTTTACAAAGCTCTACTTAAAACCGGGTTCTATTTTTTACAAAGCTCTGCTTAAAACCGGGTTCTATTTTT